ATTGTGTCAGGGCAGGCACTTGGCAGACTCCACTATTTAGGAAACTAAATGAACAAAAGCAAACAAGCAGCTCAGTTTCCTCTTTTCAGAGTTGACTTTTCATCATCATGTGTCCCTAAGCTGGCTCACTGCACAATCAGACAAGAGCTTGTGCTGGCACAGAGGAAGCAACTGGAGCAGGACTGTCCTGTTATGTCAGCTTAACCAAATCACATCCTTCAACAGCCTGAAAAACACATGAGGACCACAGTTTGCATTATGCCTACTTTGCAGAGCGTGCTCTGGCTTGCCAAACCTGTTATCCAGACTCAGCAGCTGTGATGTGCCAGATCCTCTGGTGCTCCTCACAGAAGAGCAGAGGGGCAGTGCCAATAAATGCAGGTGTTTTGTCCCAAAGTGAAGTCAGCATGTTTTTAGCAGCCACAGACCCACTGGTAAAGCAGTGGTAAGTCTCACATCAGCTACAGGACCAACTAGAGGAGAGGGTAAACCTGTGAAGGATGCTATATGGTACAGTTTGTCCAAGCTTTTGCCAGGTTGCTGGGACACTGGCAAGGCCATGAGCCTCATGGTTTGGTGGCAGAAGGTAACACTGCATTTGCAACATTGAGCAGGCTGTTTCTGTAAAGCACTTGTCACCATGTGGCACATTTTATTGTATCACTGAACACACTTCAAGGCCTCAGTAGTAGACATACTGCTGTCACTGAGCAGCTCTGCTCTGCGTATTGCTCAGAAAACACAGGGTTAGTGTAGAAGCACTGTGTGTGCTTTTAGCAGCATTACTGCAGTCTGTATGAGGAGCAAAGGCAGAACACCGAACACCTAAGGCAGCATTCATAGAAAGGGAAAATAATTTAGCTTTACCAGACTTGTTCTAATCCCCATTGAATGCAGAACAGATAAGAATGGAGATCTCGATGGCCATCTACTGGCGAAACCTGAGTCTTTGTTTTAGCATGCAGACTTTTGCATCAGAGAAAAGCGCTTGGATGTACTTGAATTGTAAAAACACGTTTTCACTTCTAGCTAGAAATAACAAGTTTTATAAATTAACTTAAATGCTCCCATCCAAAAAATGTCTGATTTCATTCATTCCACCCTGTGAAAAGTAATGACTATAGGTGTTGCAGCTGCTTTTGGAAGCAACCAACTATCTCTCAAGATTTATGTTAGTGCAATACTTTCAGTAACAATATAGAAATTACACTGTTTTTGGTAACGATGAGTTGCAAATAAATGTCAAACTGATGAGCCAGAGCCAGAACACAATTTTCTTCTTTGTTATTTTACCTTTCAAACTTGATGTATCAGCAGTAATTGGATATAACCTGCAATTTCCCCGAGATGTTGCACATCATGTTGATCCTATTGTTAAACCCCACCTTGAGTTTTGAAGGCTTCCTGAGATCTTGGATGTCAGCAGGAGAGCTGACAGCTCCTCAGGGCACCCTGGCAGCTCACAGCTGCTGATGCTCTTCCAGGTCTTGATTCTGGGCAGTCTGCAAGAGATGTCTGATGTCAAGAGAGGCTACTGCTAAAGATGTTTTTTTTCTTTAAAGATATTTTCAAAAATTTTTACATTACCTTAAGCATATTGTAAACAGAAAAAAAAAAAAAAAGGAAAAAAAAGAATCATTACAAAAAGCAGACAGCTTTGAGTTCCCAATCATTTTCATTCTCAAAGAGTTCATGCTTTGTGATGCCACTGAATAGTAATTCTGAAGCTCTGTAATGACCAGAGCCACCTGGCCAAGCTCAGTGGCCTTCATCAGGCACAGAACTTGGTTTTGAGGACTTCGGGGTTTTTTTCTGTCTATGCGATCTGTTTAGTTATTTTGTAGAAAATACTCAAGAAAGTGGAGCATTTCAGAGGGTAGTGATGCACAGGAACAGGTTGCCCAAGGAGGCTGTGGATGCCCCATCCCTGGAGGCATTCAAGGCCAGGCTGGATGTGGCTCTGGGCAGTCTGGTCTGTGGTTGGCGACCCTGCACATAGCAGGGGGGTTGAAACGAGATTATCACTGTGGTCCTTTTCAACCCAGGCTATTCTATGATTCTGTGTTTTCCCTTTACTGCTCCATGACCAACAAGAAGGACTGAACTGAAAGTCACTGTGAGAGGTACGAACCTCAGGAAGCTGAACCCATCAGGAACCCATCTTTATGTTCTTTTTAAGGCTTCCCATGGTGTCTGCAGTTGCACAGTGATAAGGCCTGTACTGGGCTGGCAGTGTCAGGTAGGACCTGGCCCTTTCTCCACCTGTGAGACCTGCACTATAGGATGCCCCTGCAGCAAAGGGGCTGGAGGAGATCCCCCTGTGGTATGCGCTCAGCTGTCTCGTGTGTACCTTCTGCTGACCAGCGTGTCACTTAGCCTGCAGTGCTGAAGGAAGGCATGAGGTTATGTTTGCTGTTCCCTGCTGGCGGTAACCTTTCTCCTTGTGTGCACAGCTCGTCAAGGCTGTGGAGCTCACGATGGACAATGGTAATGCACAGCACTTTCTGTGCCTTATTTGGCTATTCCCCTGTCACCTATAACCAGGTAGCCCTGATGCTTCACTTTTTAGGAAAAGGGATTAAAAAAAAACTGAGAAATGGCAGCATGGATTGTGTGGCACCACTGTATGCTACCCTCTCCTGTATAAATCTCTGAGAAAGTGAGAGCAGCATGCAGTGAGGTCACCTTCTGTACGTGACAAGTAGCTTTTTATGAGGTGGCGACTGTTCTCAAGGTTCGTTTTTTTTCTCAGTTCTGGCAGCATTGTAAGCTCGATCCTCCTCCCATTTGAACAAGCTGTATTTTTCAGGATCTGAACACTCAGTTACAAAACAGGCTCTTAAGACAGCTCATAAATCATGCAGCAAAAAAGTGATGCCCAAATATTTATTTTTGCAGCTAAAGATTTTCTGGTCTTGTGTGCTGCACTGTGTACCTTCAGTGCTGAGCTTTAAAATTTGATTTACACATTTGCTTTTTATTTTAGCTGGTGGAATGTTAAAAAGAGAATCTGGGGTACTCTGACCGATCTCAGTGATTCATCTAACTCAAGACTTTTATTTGCCCTGAGATGCAGATGCTTCAGTACAATTCCTTAGCCATTTCTGCAGCAGCTAAACATATCTGTATTCTTGTCACATAGTTAAAGTGCTGATGTGTCTTACTCTCTAGAGGACTCCTTTTTGCTAGTTAATGTTGATATAACGACCCTCTGCCCATTTCATCCTGTACTTCAGAAATCCCCTGTATGCCCATTTACACATATTGTACTTTAGGCAATAATAATTAATCTGAAAAATCTCTTTGCCTGAAGGTGAAGTATAGCTGTATATTAAGTGTTAAGAGAAAAATAAAGTTGTCAGAGAATTCTTCTTTTTTCAGCAGTGCTTTAAGTTGGAATTCTACTGTAAGAACATGCAGACAAAAAGAAAGTGCAATTTGGACTGCCACAGTTTGAGACTTAAAGATTTGAAATGCATAAGTTGAAACATCAGTGAAATCACATGCTAGTTGCATGAGATGCCTAAAATTTTAACCCAAAACAATCATCAGCAAACTTCAGAAATCTCTAGAAATGAAGTTTATCCCGGAACAGCTATAGCTGCAACAACAGTGGCTATTGTCACAGATTGAATCTTGGTGTTGACACGGGAGCTTCTCAGTGAATACCTCACTATCGATATTTCCAGTTCCATTCTTAGTATCTTAGCTTCCCCAGAGGTTCATGCTTTTTGGGAGCACATTCCATTTCCTTCCCTATGATTCATTTTCATTTGACAGTCAGAAGTTATTTCAGGAGCTGAGAACTTCCACGTTGAGAGTTTAAAAGAGCTCGCTGATGTCAATAAACCTGGGAATGTGGTGGAAGTTCCAGAAAGTTGAGGAAGGGTAATGTTGTTCACACACTCGAAACAGCTGAGCAAGCTACTATAACTGTAGGTGAGCACAGCCGCTGTGCAGTATAACTGTAATGGAGCTGATAAGGAAATCAATGGATAATGATTTATAGGTAGGTAATATAGTTAGCAGAGATCAATAAGGGTTTGGTTCATGTACCAACTTGATAATATTCTTGGCACCAGTTTGTCTAGCTCAAGGCAAGTGCATTGTTGTAGCAGAATTTCTTCAAGAATTTGACTCAATGTGTACTGCGTTTATAAACTAAAATAATATGACTTTTAATACTACATTTTAGTTGCTTAAAATTGGGATAACTGATAGGACATTGGAATAAATGGAGTAAATCTTCTGTGAGTGTATGCATTTTTTTGTGGAAGGTTCCCTGGCCCTGTGCTACTGCTAAATTCAGTGGTCTGAAAGGAGTTCAGTGGGGCTTTGAGGAGCCTGGTCTAGAGAGAGGTGTCCCTACTGATAGCAGGGGGATTGGAATTAGGTGATCTTAAAGGTCCCTTCCATCCCAAACCATTCTGAGCTTCTGTGATTTTTGGGTGATTGAGAAGTGTTAAATAAGGAAATTGAAAAACCACTGCTTCCAGGTGATGAGAATCTCTTCTGTATACGAGGACACAGTAGATATTTGGCCAAATGTGAGGATTCGTAGCCAAGATCTGGGTACTGGAAACACTTCTTCATAAAAGTTGTCAGAATTTTTACCAATTTAAACATATCAAGGAGAAATCACTGAGTCTTTGTAGAAGGTTGTTTAGAAATCAGTGTTCACTGAACTTGGAACTGCACACGTAAAATAGAAATAAAGTCAGGCTAGTTCGTTATTGAGGCATTATTCCAAGGTGTTTTCTCTGGCAATAAGCACCTCTTAATCAAAACCTGAATTATGTAATACTGCAAAATATACTGTCATTCAAACATAAATAGTTTCAAAGAGGTGCTGCTGACTGTTATGCAGAAAAGGAAATATTTAACATTTAAGATCAGGTTGCCTTTGGCACAGTGCTTTGCTACTACTCATTTTTTGAGGCCCAAGATATATTTTGTGCTCTTGCTTCATTTTTCCTTTTTCCCTCTATTCTGTTCTTTAGTTCAATTTCGCCATTCAGTATTGAGAGCACAAGGCGTCAGAGAAGGTCTGAGTCTCCAGACTCCAGGAAGCGGCGCATCCATCGGTGTGACTTCGAGGGATGCAACAAAGTATACACAAAAAGCTCCCACCTGAAAGCTCACCGGAGGACGCACACAGGTAAGGCTCTGCTGGCACTGGCATTGCGTGGTTCTGCCAAGCCTTTCTGCCTGATTTAGGACCTATTGAACTTGCCATCCTAAGCCAGGAGATGAAAGTCTGAATATAAATAACAGGGATGACTGCAGGTGCATCTGAGCTTTGGCATGGTGGTACAGATCAAAAGCTTGCTTTAGAGTTGGAACTTCCCTATCATTCTCACTTCCCATGTTTTGCTTCTCAGTACAAGCTCTCTTAGCAAAAACTGGACTCTTTTCAGTTGAAAGTTAACAGAAAAGTAGCCTGCATGGGTACATCTAATGTGTTTCAACAACAATGGATGATCGTTGTTTGGGACCAACCAAAGTTATTCAAAATAAAAAAACCTCAAGAAGTGTAGACGTAAATCTTCAGCACCAACTTCTTCACTCAGCAGCCATGCTCCTATTGTAGTATTATTTGCTTTTACAGATGAAGCCTTTCAGTGATAAGTGTTGCTAAATACAATTGAATTGTAAATTCAAGAACTCAGAATTTCTTTCTGGATGTTTTCTGATGCATCTATCACATACTGAAAGTGGAGGTCAGTCATTTTATGAGAATAGATTGCACTGGATCCTTGTGACATAGATGCAAGAGAGATGCATCTGCATGAGCTGGATCTCATTCACTGATATAATACGTAATCGATACCTGGTTTTCTTATTGACCCTAAGGGCTGCTTGCTACTACTCTGCATGACAGGCATGTGAGAGTAGCTGAAGCACTGATGTGTAATCGTTGTGATTTTATTGTGGATAAACTCAGGAACAACTCTTTGAGGTCATCTAGAACAATTTAAAAGGTTACCACTGGAATGGCTAAAAAGGCAGTGAACACAATGCTGCTGATCTTAAATTAAATGTATTGATTAATCTGTTCTTAATGTACTTCAACATTCTTGTAACTCCTTGGAGACAAGACGGTGTTTGTCCAGCATTCTAGCACAGTGTTGGTTTTTGCTGAGAACCTGCTGGTGTTTTCTGTGTTGTTGCATAATCTAGATGTTATGAGATACTACTTCAAAAAACAAGTGATGGCTTCTCCGTTTCAGATGAAGCCACTTCTTCATCACTCTTTTCAGTACATCTTTTGATTAGCAGGGCTTTCACTGAGAGGAATACTGAGCAAGACTTTGTCTTGATATTTATCACTTAACTCATTCCTGTAAATAGAAAATCCTTTCCTAGAACAGCAGGAATGTTCTGGCTATTTCATTAGTTCCCCTCCAGGCGAATTATTCTGATTTCTTCATGTCTTCCCATTAATGTTTGTGCATTCTCTCAATGTATTATGTTTTGTCTTAATTATTTTTTTCTTCTTTCTTCTTTTTTCCCTGTATATTTTGTCGTCTAATGCGTTTTATGTACCCCTATCCTTTGACTTGCACTCTGTCCTTTGCTTTACTTTTTTATCCCACTGTAGCTCTACTCCTCTTTTTCATTCTCTTGTTTCCTAAACTGTTTCCCTATTCTCTAATGATTCTGTAATTCATTAATGATCTCCTGGCTGATAACTCTTGCATATAAAGCACCCAAAATCAATGTTAGGTGTTCTGTACTACTGAATGCACTGAGTGCTCAAAACTAGGCACAGAAAGCTAAAATGTAGTTGATAATTCCAACTTCTGCAGCTATAACTATCCAGTAGCATGAAGAGAGTTTCTGTACCAAAAGTAATCATAGAATTCATCTATCCAGCTTTGGCTCATCAGCAGTTAAATGTCTAGGCTATGCTATCTGTCTGGAATCTCTGGGTAGTCATAGAAGAGGGATTGGCACCTCTGGGGCACATTATTCCCTCTTCAGGTTGACCCAGGAATTGGCATCTGAAGGTACTTCTCCTTCACTGTTGAATGCAGGAGAAGCTCAGGTACTTGCCTCTTAGCTGGCTGAACTGAGTACCCATCCCAAAAGGCAACTGCCTGAAGTATTTTGGATATTGGTTCATTCCTTCAAGGAGAGAACATTAGGAAAAATAACATCAAATCAAAAACCTTCATTAAATGGTTGATTAGCTGTTAACTGTTCTATCATCTACTCATGCATGCTGCAATATAAGAAGTAAAGTGTAGTCTATAGAGAAGGTGAGCACTGAACTTAGCCAGAGATCCAGTGAGAAAATCTGTATTGTGCTGATAAATCTGTTTTCAGATACTTCTTTGGTCTTGGTAAGAAGCTGCTGTATTTTGACTTCACATATAGCATTGGCCATGAGCATACCCTATGTAGTAATCTTATCTTACATTTTTTATCTTGGCTTGCACTGTTGCTTCAGGCAAAATAAGTTAATTATTCACATATGACCCACAGTAATTAGTGTGCAGTTTTGGATAGGTATAAATGAATTATGACAGCTAGGCACGCAAGGATGAGCACGTTTGAATAGGAAACTTTCTGAAGAAGGATCACAGAAACTCAGCATTGCATAATCTTGACTTTTTTTTTAATGCAGGCTGGTTGCACTAACAATTTTTTAACTACGCAGAATGTGTTTGAAAGCTAATTTTCTTTTTCATTTACTATATGTGCATATTAAATTCACTCACAGTAACATTTGTTTGGATATTGGAAGAAAAAATATGTGGTTTTTTTTTTGACAGGACAAACAGCATTGATTGGAAAGTAAATTTCTTTTGAATGTAATTAAAAATGGAAGCAAAATGTTATACACAGTACCCATCGCATTCAGTTCTCGTGGAGTCTCCCTTCATTTTCAGGATGCTATCATGTGGCTTCTGAGTACTTCTCAACTTTTCCTCCAAGCTTAGTGCAGTGTGTGGGCACGGAATCCACTGGGGGGCGGCCTTGAATTGTGCATTAGCTCTGAAACTTGGAAACGTGCAAGTGAAACCTGGAATCGTTGGACCGTTTCATAAATCACAAACACTTGCTATTAAATTTCTCTTTCTAGTATCAGGTTCTTGGTGTTGCTTTGCCAAATCATCAGATAAAGCTATCAGGAGGTATCGGGTGTGATGGAGAGCCTTCTGGGCTCACCATCAATCTTGCAGCACAGGTATATCAACTCTTTCTGCAAGGAGAAAATTGTGAGAAAATGGCTTATCGAGGTTGTGTTGAGTTGGTTTCTTCTTCAGAAAAATACTAATGTGTGTTTCTATAAAGGAATAATCTGAAAAATCAGAAAGCAGCCTTGGGTTGCATTCCTTGTCTGCGTGTGTCCATGTTATGTTCAACACAGGCACTCCTATTAGCTCAGGGAGTTAGTGGTGGTAGAGAGCTAAAACTTCCATTCCCTGCAAGCTCAGTACAGCCTGGTGTACTGACTTGTAACTCATCTTCTTTAGTTTGCATCTTTTGCTTTGAAGACAGGGAAAAAACTGTAGCATTATTTTATGACATGTAACTGCCATTTCAGATCATTTAGGAGGTATTAAAGTTGCTGTTGATGGTTCTAGTAGGGCAGCTGAACATTTCAGACTAAAGCAATACTCATTCTTACCACTGTATTTTCTTTTTGTTTGGTTTGGTTTGGTTTTGTACCATCAAAATTTACTTCTAAAAATACTTACATTTGTCTTAAAGAAATATTTCCTTTTCTACTAGACCTAGTTTGTGAAAGATCTACTGATTCTCTTCCTTTCAGACAGAGGTTATGAAAATCTGCTATGTTTTATATAAATTGAAGAGGCAAATCTTCTGTTGAGAAACTGGCATGGGTTATAAAAATTAGATTTTAACATCTGATCTGTGATGTTGATGCAACTGGAAGTCATGGGACTTCGCAGCTGTAAAATTGGCAATAACTATCAAAGATTTCATTATTTTGGCAAAAACTATGCAGATATTTTCATGCCATATATTCAAAGATGTATCTCAGCCTTCTCTCTAATTGGCTGCAGATTTCTGAAATGGCAATGAAAAGCTGCAAAGTGCTCAAAAATATTTGCAATTTCCCTGCAATATTTCATGTGATGATTATTTTTTAATTTTTTAATTATCTGTAACTATAATGAAACTAAGTGAGCTGGAGATGTTGAAGGTGGATGGACAAAGCCATGCGGTTAGGTTAGTGCAAGACAGTAACGTCTCAGGTGACATAATATATCTCAAGTGTATGTGCAAGTCATTTGGAAAATAACACCTTCTATTTATTTCAATGGAAACCACAACAGATATGAAGAGCACAGTTACATTATTTGATAGAGAAAACTCTCAGCTATAAAACACTATTTTGCAACGTAGTCACCACCATTTGCTATGCATTTTTGCCAGTGATGAACAAGAGTCTGTATGACACACTTGTAAAAATCTGCATGGCCATCCGGAATGTGGTTTGTCTTTTACATCACTCTCCCTACTGCTGAAATGTACTGCCACCACCTCACTGTGCTCACATACACTGTTTACTCTACACAAAAGTTCAGCAAGCCTCAAGGAGTTTCAGTGAGTGCACTTTTTTCTGCACAGAGGAATTCAGTGACACTCCATTGCTTCAGATGCACTTCCATGTCAGATGCCATTCTGTCAGACTGCCCCCCTGCTGCCATCTGTCACACAGCAACAACATGTAACGGAATATTGGGGGAAAGGTTCAACCTTTGCTGCCATACCACCAACATCTGCTTCTGATGTTGTGAGCCAACATCATAAAATACGAGGTGTTACTTTCGGAACGGACTTCATATTGCTATAATAGTTTCAGTCACATAGTAGTGTTGGATAAAGGTTGTGTATAGAAAGATGAGAGATGAAGGAAGTGAGCTTTAAGGGAAGAGGGAGTTTAAGAACAGATACCCGGGATCCTCTAGGCTAAGTGCCATAACATTACAAATGAGTTCTGAAAAAGTGAAAATACCTTTTGGATGGATAACAGTTATCACAAGAAAAACACACAGAGCCATTTCTGTGTGAACTGATTTCAGTTGTCTTGGTGTAAAATGCATTAAATAATAGAAAATGTGAATATAAGAAAATGACAGTTTCTAGCTGCCTGCAGAGATACTGGAGGAAGCCCATCTC